TTTCTTTGCTACCGTAGTCCAGAATTACCAAAGTATTGGGAAACCTTTCGGGGGTTTGGAATGGACAAGACGAGTTTTACCCATGAATTGGCTTTGTCGAAATACGAATTTCGGGTGCTGTGGGACTATTTCGTGATGCACGTGTATCACGCCGTCCAAGGCGACGCAGAGGATCGCAATACGTTGGCCAATCGAAATGTGGATATATGGAGAAAAGAATTCACCCCGTATCTGTCGAACAAATATCAACCAAAGGGGATGGAAGAGCGATGGGTCTATCCGCGCTTCCGGGACTACTTGAGCAATGCCAAGCAACGACAACAAGCGAGCACGTAGATGATTGGAAGTGGATGCAGTTGAACAGCAAAGGGTTTGGTTGCTGGATCATCTGACAATTCAGTATCGACTTTGCCTTTATTCAAGGTTGCTACAAGGTGGGTGGGTGCCTTTCTGTAGTTTCTGTGCTATACTGATACCCTGGGCTCGCGATCTTCGTATTTCGATAGAAAGCACCAAACACTAGCTGTCACGATTGCACAAGCCGACATCCTCAATGATTGTAAGGGGAAATGATATTGTCGGCACTTTCCTCCTTCCTTGGAATAAAGAAATAAGCTTCGTTGGTCCAACTTTTTATCACCATGCCACGCATGCCTTTCGATCGGCAATGCTCTGCGATCAATAAATCAAAGCAACATACAGTCACAGAAGCACAACTAATTTAGTGTACTACTATGGAAGTAATCGTGTTGTAAGTTGCTGCTGAACTCTTGTAATTTCGCGTACGCACAAATCATCGTCAAGCAATCCACACTTCGTTCCAACAATCAGTCAATCAGAAGAAGACTTGACCTTCTACTGGCGGGCTGCTTGGAATTGGTAGTTTCGATGGGTTTACCTCCAATGGACGGATGGATACCACTACATGATGGCTATCGACGTCACTATTTGCATTCGATATTAAATCCCCACCAGAGGCACCAAGTTGTGGAATGTACTCAAAGCTGTGACAATTTTCTTCCTCTTCATGGCCTAATCCTTCTACACCATGTCGCCACTCGCTTCCCCATGGAGAATTGGCATCCATCAGATTGAGCCCGCCAGCAGTGGCCTTTTGCAGACTATCATACAAAGCATGCTCTATGGTATGCTCGTCATAGCCACCATTGTTGTTGTCGAAAATGACCAGCCACATGGGTGGAGACTTCTTCTTTGTCGTCTTGGCTTTCTTCTTTGGTGGCATCGTCGTTGTTTTTCGGATGCAACTTCAAACTGTACAGTATGATATTATTGCGGAGAGGAGATGCAAATTGAAAATCTTGCGATGATGATATAATCATATTTGAATTTGAATACAGTACCAGGTACGCTATGTGAAAATTTGCTCAAAATTTCAAAACGTCAGGACTTTGGAAGTACTTTGATTGCGATTTGGACTACGTCGACTAAAGCTTAGAATCAAACATCACAAAATAGAATCAAGAATCATTTTTCTGTTGGCGTCAACAACGAAACAGTTACCATCAGCCGACATTCTCACCATATTAGCAGCTCAAGGTAAGATAAGAACTACTATCACAATCATGATCGATAGTATCCAATGGATGCTCACATCGCACTCCAGTAGCAAGGCGCAAATAATTCGCTTACTTTTTGATTGTGGCTTTTCACTCTCACTCGACGCACTATTTTTTCTATTCGTTTTGTTGCCAGGAAACACCAAGACCATGAACAATAACAAAAGCAACGAAAGCATTTTGCTTGCTCAAAACGAGTCGGGAGAACAAATGATTGAGTTTGCGCTCCTTTTTCTGACTGTTCCAGATCTGCGGAATGTCGCCACCATCAATCGTCATTTCTCCAAGCACGTTCCCAATCGACAGGATGTGTGGAAAGTCATCCTGGAATGGTTCGAGAGAGCGAATCCACTCATGAGTGTAGATAATCCTCCATCTTGTGAAGACATGCGTTCCGCTCGTCAGGGGCCATCCTTTTGGCCCGCGATGAGGGGTTCGATGCTTCCACCGTCTTTTCGGCCCACGAGCATTCCTCCGTATATTCGGCCAACGAGCATTCCTCGTCAAGAGCAATCGTTTTGGCCCAGAATGGTTGATTGGCTGATCCCGCAGTCCTTTCGGTCTATTTCTCGGGTCACTCTTGGGCATCCCCAAGCATTCCCTTTACGCAATGACCCTCGGTTGAGCCCTTCGTTTTCCCATGAGTCGAACTTTGAAAAGCTTATGGCTATCCAGGCGTATGCCAAAGCATTTGAAGACATGTGTGATTCTAACTCCATGATGACAATTCAAAATTCCAACACATCGCCAGGCGAATTGGATGAAGATGGCGTTGGGATGGTTTTATCTTGCGTCACTCACTCGCAGCAAGGCAGAGTCGAAGATCCTTCTGTAACTATCTACTCTGGTGAAGATCTCGACGTTCTAGTGTTGGGCTTTATGACTTCCTGCTATCCACGAGTAAAATTGCGCTTACTCTATCCTCTTGACTTCAATTTCGAACAGGGACAAGTAGAAAGAGCCGCCGCAAGTGGGCATTGTCTGCTAAACTATACTGAACGCCGTCCATGAGGGCTTTTGAATCCAAATAAGACAGGTGAGCGACTCACTTCTCTCGTCGGTCCATACTCTAGCACGAGAGAACGTAGCCACTATTCATTCAAAATTGTAAATCATGTTTCAAAAGCGGATTGGTCTTATTCCTTTTATAGTGTTGCATTGCAATAACCAATAGCCAAGAGCTATCGTTCTTCCAGTCTTTGGCTGTTGACTTTCCCCATATTGTTCGTTCTTGTTTTGATTATACATAACATCTTCGTCTAGTGTGCTCTTGTGCTCCACCATGTCAATAGTGCAAATACTCTGTCCATCAATGGACAACTGTTGGAATCATGATGTTCTATGGACCGGCTTCCAATAGCTTCCGCGTGCTGGACGATCTTGTGTGTGTGTGTGTGTGTGTTAAATTGTGTGCGTGTGTCTGCGTGTGTGTATATAGTATACGATGATTGTCTTATTGTGGCATATGTGAATCGTGCAAAACTTCCATAGAGTGTCGAGGACTCAACTCAGCACATGACTTCCTGGAATTGTGGCAAGGCGGACTCACGAATGTCGCCCTTTGCATTGCCAGTCTTTAGAATGGGAATCGCTCCTGCGGAGTGTTCATCACTAACCGAAAAAGAGGAAGCGGAACCATTATTGTTGTTGTGTTTGCCAGTCCTCGAGGTTTCCATGTCTCTCATGCGACGGTAGCATCGTTTGGCTTCTCGAGCATCGGATTGACCCCGCCTCAAGGCTTTTTTACTACATTCTTCTGAACAGTCCATAGAAGCCAAGGCAATCATTTCACTGTCTTGGATCTTTTCAAACAAATAGAATTGACGATCTTGTTCGTCCAACACGGCGTCAGTGCAGGAATTGATGACGGCGTCCAATTTATCCTTTCCCTTGTCAGACAAACATTCCAATCCTCGGTACGTAGATTCTCGTTTCGATTCCTTGCCCGATTCCATACGAGCAGCCGTCTGGAAACAACGCTCGGTCATCTTTTCCATTTCATCAGGAGAAAGCCACGAATGATGAGCTTCCAACTCGGAATAGTCTTGGCGAGAAATGGTTTTCCGAGCTTGGACAATGTCATTGAAGGTTACGTGTTTGGCCATACTGTCTTGAGAAGTATGAGCTTGTTCTGGTTGACTGGTATGGTATTGGACTCACTGGTTATTGGACTATCGCTGGTATTTTTGTGGCAGTGTCATTTTGTGTTTCTCGTTTCGGAGTAACATACCTAATAGCCCTCAGATTTGTGATGTTTCCGGTCGATTGGACGCGGCGAATCATCCAAAAGCGGCAGAATACTGTGCACTGTACATAGTGGGAAAAGGCGAACGGAAGACTTCTGGTCACAATACCCGTGGAAGGGGCTATGAAGACGCAAAAAAACTTGTGGGAACAGCTTGGGCGTAAATGGTACAATCGCGAACGCTCTTCTTTCCATTGAAGTCCTTGTTCTTCGCTCCGTTCTCCTCCCCGTTTGAATCAATCAACAAAGAGTACCAGCACATATTAAAAAAATCAACTATGCAATGAATACAGTATCCATTTTTCCAAACGTTTCTCCGTCTCCGGAGAAATTCCATATTTAGGGCCTGTCGAGTGAGTCCAATTGCACCTTTTGACCCGAAGAAAGTCCAAAATACCAAAATTTCGATTCGTCTGATTCCTTTTTTAACAGAACATCCGCCAGTCACGGAGAGACGAGTCACGTGAAAAAACCAACTTTCGACCTTAGCCCATTTTTAATATATGACCATTTTCATCATAACAACCAATCAGACGTCTTCCTATGACCCTTTGGGCCCACTGTATAGGGTCAATTGCTTGGTATGTACCTAGGTTCG